ATTCCTAAACATGGTGTCTCAGAGCTTGAAGGAAGGGCTACCAGAAATTAAGAGCTCAGGTTTGGAAGTCAGAGGAAACTGGAAACTTGGGTTGCAGGAGGAAGTTCTAATGACACAGTGTATTAAATGTTGGGCTGTTAACGAAAAGATTGTGAGTTCAAACCCACCAGCAGCTCCAGGTCAGAAAGGTGAAGCATTCTATTTCCTTACAGATTTACCACCCGGGAAACCCTGGGCTGTTCTGTTCTTTCCTGTGGTGGGTCACTATGAGTCAGAATCAACTTGACAGCAATAGGTTTGGGTATTTTGGGGGAGAAGGGGGTCCCAGGCCTCTGCCACTAATTACTTTATGTGGCCTTTCCCCCCACCCCTGTGTGTGTGTGTGTGTGTGTGTGTACTCACAAGCTCATCTCAGTTCACCTCATCATCACTGAGTTGTAACAGTTCATAGCCGGCCTTCCCTTGAGTTTCTGAGGTTGTAAATTGCATGAAAGGAAATCTCTCCCATCGTTCTCCCATTGCACGGCTGGTGATTTGAACCACCAGAGTGGTGTAGCCTTTGTGTTAACAGTGTAACTATGGTAATCACTGTGAATGTTTGTTATCAAGCCAGCATGAGGTGATTGATGTATGTAATAACACTATGCCTGGCATAAAATATACCCTTAGTTAGTATTATTTCCGTTCTTTTTAAAGCCATCATTTTATTCATTTTAAAGCCAAATACATCATTGTGGACAAAAAAAACTAATTTCCTAGCCTGCATCAAATAAAAAGTCAGTCCTAAGGACTTGCCCATAGCTCTTTGGTTTCTGTAGGGGAAAGAGTGTAGTTTTTTAAGGAAAACAACGGTGCCTTCAATAATAAAACAAGTACAAAGCCCGTTAAAGGAATTTATCGTTCTAACGTTAAAAAAGAAAAAAAGCCAGCCCAAAAGAAAGGACGCTATTGACCTGGGAGTATTCAGTTTGTTCTTTGTGTTAACGCTTTGTGTCCTGAGCAGAGACCGGTGTCCCCTCCCTTCAGGAGACGGTGGGTCAAGCCCAGCCCAGTCTGTGGTTTTCATACTTAAGAAGCTGTAAATTTTATAACTCTGCAGCCTGCGGTCAGAGCTGCTGAGTGTGGTGTCTGTAGTCAGGTGGTTAGTGTGTTAAAGGTAGACACTAAACAGCTCTCCCGAGGACCTGGAAGCGTTTAAGGAGGTAGCTTGCCAGCTGTGAATTAGAGACCAGTGCCAGCTGGCTGGAAAATTCTCTGGAGCAAGTCCAGTTAAGTAGACTGAATCACTAGCAGTCTTTCCAAATTTGTGCATTTAACAGCCCCGCTGTACTGACGGGCAGCTTGAGGTGATTCCGAAATAGCCTTATTGAGATGTTTTGCAGTTAGGTGAGGGAGTTGTGACTAGTTCAGAACAAGAGCAATTGAATGCTATTGACAAGGGCGCTGGAAAAGTTTAGAAATAGAGGTGACTGATGAGAGTCATCATTTATTTGCAAATTAGCCATTGTCTCAAAGGTGCTGTCCAGCACTGATGGAACCACAGTGGTGTGGTGATGCACGCACTTCCCCGTGGGTCTCCCAGGTCCTCGCTTCAGCTTCTGGGGGCAGGACTGCAGGTGGTTAGGATAATGACCCAGCAGGGTAGCTGATAACTCTAAAAGGGTTAAAAGCACAGTAGAAGCTCCTGAGTAGAGGGGAAATGTGAAATGAAATCCAAACACATAAAAAGACCAGATTTACGCATCCAATAGAAACTGGTGGAACTCTCAGACTGTGACCCTTTGTCACTCTTCAAACTTCAACAAAACTCACCCCCATGGCTGAGTTTTCAGACAATAGACAAATATATGTTGTTGTTAACTGTTGATTGTGAACCAGCTTATAGATGATCCTCTAGCTGTGATTCAGACACAAAGTGCTGGAAGCCACAGTTGAGGCTGTGCTTGAACCTATTACAACAGTCACTGCATCAGGCCATCTCAGCCTCTCTTTCACTGACTCTCTACCTTTCCCTATCCCGCACCTTCCTCGTGATCTCTGCAGGTGTGATTCAGTCTATACACGGACATCCTTACTCATTAGCACTTTAGAGAGTTCCTTAACAGTAGATTTTCCCAATGCAACATGTCTTTGGAGTTCTTGACCACTGCTGCCATGAGAGTTGAAACTCTGGTAGGACTGTGCACTCCAGCTTCAGTCATTTTTGCAGGGCCGGCAGGAACATTTTCCTAGCCCAGACAGCTTGTTTTCTGTTCCCCATCGCATGCTTGCTTGTTTTGTAATATTTGTGTGCTTGTTTACTTTATGGTTTGATCTTACAGGTACAGCACTTGCCTGTCAATTTGCTGTACTGTGGCAACCTGTGTGTTGCTATGATGCTGGAAACTATGCCATTGGTTTTTAAAATACTAGCAGGATCACTCAGAGTGGACAGGTTTCAGCAGTACTTCTCCACTAAGAAAGACTAAGCAGCAGGCCTGGTCATCCACTTCTGAAATAGCAGGTCTTTGAAAACTATATGAATGTTAAAGGAAAAATAATGAATTTGACCATAGTGTCTATTTTAAAACTTATAGTCTTTAAGAGGACTTTATAAACTAATGCTAAAATACACCTGATGTCAACTTTCTGCTAGTTAATACCATCTTTCAGCTTAGTTTATTCCTCCATGCAGACTCCCAGTCATGTAGACATTATGGTTTTGAGTCATTTTATAATTTAAGCAGAGACATTTTTGCTCATTTATGCATTCATTGAATCCATTAATGTGTGCAACATGTAAAATACATAAATATACCCTACAAGCCATTATCCATAAAATTGCATGAGTAATGTGCCAAAAAATTGTATACCATGAGTTAGTAGTCGACATTACGTGTTCCTTGTATCTTTGAGAACTCTGGTGGTGTCGTCTGGAGTGCATTGCTCTCTGAAATGCTATGCCTTTCATGGTTCAAATCCACCAGCAGTCTTGAGGGAGAAAGATAGCTAGTATCCTTCTATTGCAATTTACAACTTCAAAAACATGCTGGAGAGTCCCTGCGAGTCAGAACCAACACAGAAGTAGTGAGGATAAAGAAAAGTGACTGTGAACCTTTACTGGAAAATTATTATTTGGACAAGATTTTGTTGCTAAGAAGGAACTTGTATTTGTAAGATATTTGCTTCTAGGTTGGGTTTTATTGTTTTGTTGTTTTTTGTTTGTTTGTTTGTTTGTTTTTGTGGAGTGGTGGGACACAGATCTAGCAAGTTCCTTGTATCATAAATAATGTCCACCTCACTGATTCTCAGAGCAAGCCATGGTGTTCCTGGAGACATGTAAGCCAACAGCAAAGTGGGAATAGTTTCCTAGCATCTTAAGGAGTGGTCCAGTGTAACGGGAGGTCCTTGGGCAGCCGCCACCCACCCAGCCTTAATGAAGATGGGATCCCACCACAGGGAGATAGGGCCAGGGGTTCTTATTTTTAACTGGAAGTCTGCTTTGCCTTTTGGGTATGAATGCCCAGTTCTGGTGGTGACACATTTTTCCACAAGACTTACAGGGAGGGAGAGAATCAGCTATTTATAGTCATGCTTTGAGTTTGGGGTGGGGAGAAGGATGGTTAAGAGAGGAGAGATTAGAAAGGGAGGGAAGTAATAATGATTTACTCATGCCAACAAGAAGATGATACACTGCATCGTGGAGGCACATTTTCATCAGAGGTCCTGGATTCTGTTTAAAGCTCATGTTCTAATCAACTGTGTAGTCACTCACAACTTAAAGAGTTCTGTCCTCTCCAGTCTTTTGTGTTTGATGAAAAGGTAGACAACTCCTTTATAGAGCTGGTAGAAGAAGATGTTGCAGTAAGATATTCAAAGTGGCACTGGAGTACCTAGGTCCTTGGAAACACCCAGTAAATAAATGGTATCTTATTTTAGCTGTCAGCCCTGAAAGGGTTAGAATTACCTAGAGACCCCTCCCACTAGAAGTTGATCCCACTTCATATATATAGGGTGCCCGGTGGCATAGTCCATAGTTGGGCTGATAACCCAAAGGGTATGCCTCTCTGATGGTTTGACTCCACCAGTAGCAGCTTGGAAGAAAGATGGACAGTCTCCTCCTGTGCCGTTTACAGTCTTGGAAACACACTGCAGGGTCAGCTGCACTGCTTCTAACTCAGCAGCGGTGGCTGGGTGAGTGACTTGGTGCATTACCAACACCATTGCTTCTGCTTCGGTTTCCCTCTTTCTTTTTTTACTTGCACATCCTTTATTCAGAGAACAGACAGTTTCTCTTTCGACAGATTCCCTCTGGACACCCTATTGGAAACCCTTTTGGATTCTGTAGTTCTTGATAGGCAATTCTGAGCGGGGTATATTTTAGTTTATAGAGTGCTTCCCTTACATTCCAGCTTCCAGAGGGATTGTAAATTGTGACCCAGGATATGGCACGAACAGGTACCTACGTAGATGTGGACTCCATCAGTCTGTGTCAGAGACCTTGAGGATGGTGCAGGATAAGGCTGAGTTCCAATCTGTTGTTCATAGGGTCGCTGTGAGTCATGGGCAGCTCATTGGCACCTAATAACAAATCTGTGCAAAGCATCATTCTGTATAAGTACTTTGCTAAGTTTCCTGGTTTCATACAAGCATTCCCATCCAGTGACATAATTGTCTTTCTTTCTTCAGTAGAATGTATTTCTTGTTTGTTTTTCTTTCTGCTTTGCTAATGGGGATACCCAGAATTGAGGGTAGTGGGTTTATGGCAAATGTCAAGCTGTGCTTCCCGAACATGCACCCACTGAAGTCAGTTTTGACACTGTGAAGGTACACATTTTCAAGCTTTTAAAGCGTCATGGGAAAAGTTTAAGTCAACATATAACATACTTGGGAACAATGAAGCTAACCGACTTAAAGGTTAAAATGTCATCCAAATAACTTTTAAAACGTTGCATGAGATGGCTGGAATTCCAGGGTCTGACCTCTATCTTGGTCTCTGATTCTTATCGTACACTGTCCAGGTCCTGATGCAAGGCAAAAATCCCGGGGTTGCTTGGAAGTATGCGCTTCCGAAGGTCATGAATGGAACCCAGACAGTGGCAGCAAGACACGTCTACGCCTGGAACACGGTGCAGTCGGATTGCTCTGTGTCCTGTGGTGGAGGTAGTGGATGCCGCCAATTCCTTCTCCCCAGCCTGTCTTGTCTTAAAACGTCTTCCCTCACTCCGGGCCACCTCAGCATTGTGGAATTTAAATAAGCAGCACAGCTGTCTTTTATGGGGAATGCCACTGTAAACCACAACATCACTGAACTCTGTAAGAGGATTTTTCTTCCCAGAAAGACTCAATCTGCAGAGTCCTCAGTTATCCACAAATAGGACTCAAACGTGACACAAAGGATCCATCCACATACAGGGGTCTCTTCATGGTGCAGAGATTAATGTACTCCTTGCTAACTGAAAGGTGGGTGGTTTAAGTCCACCCAGAAGTGCCTTGGAAGAAAGGCCTGGTGACCTGCCTCCGAAAAATTAGCCATCGAAAACCTTGCAGAGCCAGTTCTATTCTGACATAAGTGATCACCCTAAGTTAGAGTTCACTTAATAGCAAGTGGTTTACACACACACACACACACACACACACACACACACACACACACGGAGGTTAGATCTCTACAGAGATACATTAAAAAGTAAGGAGCCAAAAAAAAAAGTAAGGACCCCTGGTGGCACAGCGGATTATGTGGCAACAGCTCAGCAGTTTAAATCCACCAGCTGCTCTGTGTTTGCAAGATAAAACAGTCTGCTTCTGTTAAAATTTACAACCTTGGAAAGCTCACGGCAGGTTGTCATGAATTGATGGCCTGGGCTACCAGTCTGAAAGCACACGGTTCAAATCCACCAGCTGCCCCAGGGGAGAAAGATGCGCAGTCTCCTCCCGTGAGATTTACTGCCTCTGAAAACCCACTAGAAGGCCAGCTATGGGTCGGTTCTGACTCAGGGATACATAGCAATAGCCGTGGCAGAGTTTGGCTTTGGGGTTTATTTTAAATAGTCTCTCTCCACTCCCCCCCCACGCATATGTAAAATATATATAAAACACATTCTGTGATACACATATATGACATACACGTGATGCACTGTAACATCTGTACGCTAGAGTAGATTTGTTGTTGTTGTCATGTGTCATTTCGTTGGAATCAACTTCTAGCTGACCCCCTAGTGGATTTTCAGAGACTGTAAATGATGGGAGGAGGTGGGCTATCTTTCTCCTGAAGAGGAGCTGGTGAATTCAAACCATGTGCCTTTGGGTTGATAGCACAGTGCCTTATGGTAGATGATAGATAGATAGATAGATAGATAGATAGATAGATAGATAGATAGATAGATAGATA